TTGAGAATAAAGTAGAAATAAGATACACAATCCTACCCACAATTATTTTACATTTAGCATTTATAGAAAGTTTGTTCAATTTTTTAGGGAAAGCTATTGGATTTTTATTAGGAAGATTAGGCAATAGATGTCTATGCTCTGTGCTCTAAAGTAGAGGAAGAAGATGGGAATGACCACTGAGACAGAAGTTATTTACACAAACTTTAAATTGACCTCCGTTTAAAGCCCCACTGCTCACTCCCAACTCCATTATACCTGCTAATTATGAATTCCAGCTTCTCCAAGTTCTGAAGGCCAGATGTGCCTTCACCTCTGCCACTCCCTCATAACACTGTCTGGGCTGTGTCTTTCTGCACTATTTTCTATCATAAACATTCTACCATTCACTTTTCTACTTCCATAAATTTATTGAAACTCAGTTGTTATTCTCCCTCGGTTCTGCTCATAATTATAATGTAGTTTTTCTTTTTGAATATTTTTTTTTTATTTTAGAGGATTTCAGGAGGGATGTTTAGAATATAGAGCTGTTTGACCCATCATCATCCAAAATAAACTCCTACTACTCTTATGATAAGAAAAATAATGAAATCATAACTATAAACTAAAGCTTTTTTGCTCATCAAGTTTTCCATTATTATACAATATCATTAAAAATTGCTTTATTGCCCTGGCCAGTTTGGCTCAGCGGTTAGAGCGTCGGCCTGTGGTCTGGAAAGTCCCGGGTTCGGTTCCTGCTAAGGGCATGTACCTCGGTTGCAGTTTGTCCCCTGCCCTAGTTGGGTTGTGCGGGTGGCAGCCACTCAATGTGTACCTTTCACGTCAATGTTTCTCTCTCTCTCTCTCTCCCACTCTATCTGGAAAAAAAAAAAGGAAAGAAAATTGCTTTATTATCCATCTTTTCCAAAGTATAGGTTTTATTTAGAGCCTTCATTCACTACTTCAGTTTACCTTTGAAGAAAAACTGGTTCTTAAACATAGTTCTATATAAATAAACTTCTTTTCACCATGCCTTGTCTTCATTATCCCTATATGAAATGAGAGAGAGAAGACATCCAAAGGAACTATTAGAGAGATATTTTTGGAAAAAGAACAAAGGGCAATCAGGATCTTTTTTTGGTAACGGTAGAGCTGTTTGTGATTTATTGTTCAGCAGTCTAAATAATTTTTAAATAGTAAGTAGAAAGCCATCTCCTTTCTCTTTCTGCCATATCTTTGAGTCATTGTCTATTCAGAAATATGGGTATTAGTTAAACAGTCTTGAGTAAAGTATGAGTATTAGTTAAACAGTCTTGAGTAAACACTGAAAAAATAGAAATGCCTGTAAAAGGGTAAGGAGCCAGCCCTTACATTGTTCAAAGACAGGCAAGATCCAGTCTTGACACTCTAAATAGAAACTATAACCTAAATCCACAGACGTGTAGAGTTGGGAGAGTTCTGTGCCTTTCATTGTAAGCCACTTCAGCCTTACCTCTTCCTGTGACAGGACTTCTCCTATAACCTAGCCAATGGATTGTGAGTCAGCCTCCTTTTGAACAGTGCTAGTGACATGGATCTGTCTCATTACTGTAGGAGCAAACTATACCATTGTCAGACAACTCTACTCTTTAAAACATTCTTAATAAGAATTAAAGTTTACTTTCTAGAAAATTACAACCATTAATTCTAGCTCTGTCCTCTGGCATTACACAGAATAAGGAACTCAAGATAATGGAGGGACCATGGGCTCACAGACATATATTCTTGAGACATTTCAATTCTGAATACTGGCTTTGCCATTTACTGGATACATGACCATAGATAAGTTATATAACAGCTAAGAGTCTTCCTTATTTGTTAAAAGAGGATAACTACCTAAATGGGACTACGGACATTAAATAAGACAGCCCATGTAAGCTCCTGACATGTTGTAAGTGTTGAGTGCTCCTTTCTCATCTTATCCATTTCTCATCCCCATGAAAACCCTTCAAATATTTTAAAACACTGTTATGTCTTCTCTAAGTCTTTCTTTTCCAGTCAGCCTTGAACATACTCAGTTTCCTTCAGTCATTTCCCAAGAAACTGGCCTGTGAGTGTAGTGCAGGGAGATATAACACACTCAACTTGAAATATCCCAGTGCCTGATATAGAGTCTGAGAAATAGCTGGTTCTCAGGGGATGTTGATTGATTAGAATTAAAATGACCTTCAGCCTGGCTGGTGTGGCTCACTGGTTGAGCATCAACCCATGCACCAAGAGGTTGCCAGTTCGATTCCTGGTCAGGGCACATGCCCAGGTTGTGGGCCCAATCCCCAGTGAGGGGCATGCAGGAGGCAGCCAATCAGTGTTCTGTCTCATTGATGTTTCTATCTCTCCCGCTCCCTTCCTCTCTCTATAAATCAATAAAGAAAAAATATTTAAAAATAAAATGACCTTCATATGCCAATCTCAACTCTCAGGAGAAGTCTTCCTTTTAGGGGCATGCTGAGAATTTTTTTATAGGTAGAAACTATCAATGTGGATTTCTGCACCACCACCCCATTCAGTTTCTTTATACTTGCCTTGATTATCAGCAAGATCTAACAAGTTTCTGATCAATATCAATGGTTTCCTTAGTCTCAGTTTTCTCATATAATTACCCCCATCCCCACCCTTCCTTTATCTTGGTCTGTCTTTTTTTTTTATCCTCACCCGAGGACACTTTTTCATTCTTTGTTCAGATAGAGCAGGAGGGAGAGAGAGAGAGACAGAAACATCGATGTGAAAGGGACACATCGAATGGCTGCCACCCGCACGACCAACCAGGGCCGGGGACAAACTGCAACCGAGGTACATGTCCTTAGCGGGAACCGAACCCGGGTCTGTCCGGACCGCAGGTCGACGCTCTAACCGCTGAGCCAAACCGGCCAGGGCTTGGTCTGTCTTTTACATTTGTTTTCATAGATCTATTTTTTACATCCTTTTACAAGCTGACAAGAATGCTTTAAAACATACTTCATTCTCTTTTTAAAAAAGAAACTGATTCTAATTCTCTGGTTAATTATATATTCTCTACTGAGGAACTCAGTTCTAGGAGGAAATAAAAACATTTGCTAGTTTAGCATCTCAGGCTCACTCCTACCTGTCCTCAACTTGCTGGTCTTCTTTTCCCCTTTACAGAAAGAACACAGTAATATTGATGCTCATTTCTAAGCTCCTTGGATTATAAAAGTGCCTTTAAAGAACAGATATTGCCCTGGCCAGTTTGACTCAGTGGTTAGAGCGTTGGCCGGTGGACCAGAGAGTCCCAGGTTCGGTTCCCACTAAGGGCATGTACCTCGGTTGCAGTTCATCCTCTGGGCTGGTTGGGGTCATGTGGGTGGCAACCAGTCGATGTGTCTCTCTCACGTCAATGTTTCTCTCTCTCTCTCTCCCTCCCTCCCTTTCTCCCTCCCACTCTATCTGAAGATAAATGCATAAATGTCCTCGGGAAAGGATAAAAAAAAAAAAGAACAGATATCAATCACATTTTTAAATATAGCACATCTAAGGTAAGCAAGGTTCTGCACACCCAGCAAGAGATTTTTTTTCCTTAACTGTCGCTCTAGGCCAGGAGAGCAGCAGAGCACTGAAACACCTGAATCAACCGGTATCTCCACTTTTGTCACATGGCTAAATGGGGACTCTATTTTTAAACACATGATTGACACCATCTGTCTGGGCTGGGTCAATACAGTCCATCTTGTGAGTAGAAAGAGGAATCAGATAACTCCTGAGATTCTAGCCAGCCCTATGATTTGTCAAACAAAAATATAATTGTATCCTTAGGTTTAAAAAAAAAAAAAAGCCAACCCCACCCCAAAGATCCCTCAAAACTATAACCTGCAAAAGTCAGTAAATTAACCAAGATACCCCTTCCCCTTCCTTTGGATGAGTCTGAAGCCAAGACTTAACTGAAGCTGCCTAAAGAAGGAAATAAAAGGAAGACAAGCTGGCAGAGGAGAAAGAGGGGAGACTGGGTTTGGTGATGATGAATCAGGGCATTAGACCCAGAGGGTGTCTCCTTCTGAACTGTGCAATTAGAGACTCAATAAAAGGTTTCAGTACCTACCATCAGCTCACAACCAGCTCTCTCACATCCCACCTGTTCTCACTCGCGAACAAGGTAAGTCTCAATGAGTATCTGCTTGCGCATACTTAGGATCTTGGCTGCTGTTTTGCTTCTATGAGAGATTATATAAGGATATCAGAAGAAATACTCTAAGTCAACCACTATTGATGATACTAAATTGAGAGTTCCAGAACTGCTTTGATCATTTTCTTTTCTTTTCTTTTTTAATATATTGTTTGTATGACATAGGCATGAATACTACTTAACAAGACACAGGCTCAGACCTATATTAAAATAAAAATACAGAGTTATTTAAATGATGGGTATTGACTAGGGATTCAGGACTCTATTTATTTTACCAGTAAGTTCACTGAGCCATGTCTTCTTGATTTAAAAAAAAAAAAAAAAAAGTTGCTTTGGCCTGTATACATAGTGTTGATTTTCTTGCCCTTACTTCTCTTTCCTCTACAAGCTTTCCTAACTTGAAAAGTTACACTTCCCTAAGCAGAGGAGTTAAACTGAGCCAAGATGGGAGAAGAACAGGTGGGGCTATTCAGATGGGGCTGGAAGGATTGGTCTCACTCTGTTGGTTTTATTTGTATATTTTAGTACTTACATTTGAGTTTTTTTCCACCCTCCTTTTGCAATAAAGCTTTCTCTGAACATATAAGTGTTGTTTATTAAAGGATAGGGTGAAGTGTCTCTTCTAAAACTTGCCTGTGCTAGATCTGATCTCGCCACATTATCTGATGCAAAACTAAATCACCCCTAAAGTTCAAATACAATATTTTAAGATACAGAATAGAGCAGATAATACCAGTGAAGCTGGGAGAAAGTCAGAAAGAAGGATAATCTTATTATCTCTTCCCTGAAGGACCCCTCCTGGGAAATGAGCTTTGTTTGTCCTTTCTCAGAGTCTCCTGAGTTTGTCCAGATGCCTCAGTTCCTGGAAGATGTCCTCTGTGTGATCGAGGCATTCCACAAGTATGCCAGGGAAGATGGTGATGAGGCAACATTGACATGCGGAGAGCTGAAACAGCTCATCCAGGGCGAGTTTGGGGACATTCTTCAGGTAAGGTGCTCACAGAGCTGTACAAATCCTTCTCCACTTACCCTTTCTCCATAATCCAACCAGATGGGTAAAAGTGATCCCTGTCTGTTCTACACCTGGCTACCAGCTCTCAGCACTCACTGCCTTTTGAACAACAATTTTTTCAGTCTCAGCTCCCTAGTCTGTGCAATTGCTTAGCCAACATTATAGAGAAAAATGAGGTTTTCCTAACTATAACTATTGCTTCTGCAAAGTAGGCTTTTGAGAGGAGTCATGAACCAGTACACATCTAAATGCAATTCATTAGTGACATAAATGCTTCTTCTTACCCATTACTCTGTCATGAAGAATGAAATCCAGAATCACAGAATTCTTACTGTTGCCCTGGCCAGTGTTGCTAAGTGTTTAGAGTGTCGGCCTGTACATCAAACGGTCACAGGTTCGATTCCCAGTCAAGGACATGTACCTGGGTTATAGATTCAATCCCTGGCCCTGGTCAGAGCACATTTGAGAGGCAACCAATCAAAGTGTCTCTCTCACATTGATGTTTCTTCATACACACACACACACCCTTCCTTCCACTCTCTAAAAATTAATGGAAAAAGAATTCTTACTGTTTGGGAAAATTTTACAAGTGCCTGAAGAATAGGGTGACATGTAGACATTCAAGACACTTGACCCCTTGTAAATAAGCTGATTTCTCACTGTGTTCTCATGCAGCCATGTGTCATTCATGCTGTGGAGAGAAACTTGAATCTTCTGGCTATTGACAGTGATGGCACCATCAGTTTTGATGAATTTGTTCTTACAATCTTCAACTTGTTGAACCTTCATTATCTTGACCTACAATCATTACTAAATTCAAGACCAAGACAAGTGTCTAAACCAGAAGAGAAACCAGGTGATATGGATCTCCAGGCAGCCAGCAGAACTGGCCAGTGGCCAAAGGGGACTCCACCCACTCAAGGTAAAGTAGTGCTTTCTTCGGGAATAGTGTCATCAGCTCAGCTCAGCCCTAAGGAAAGAGGACACAAGAGGGTGGAACCACAGGAAGACATCAAGACTCACAAACTGCCAGGAGAAGAGTCTGGGCACAATGACTCTAAGAACCAACACCTGGAAGGAGGTGAGCAGAGTCAGGAAGTGACCCAAGGTGTATCAGCAACAGGAGACAAAGGGGCCCAAATTGAGACAAATAAGCCAACAGCAGGATCAGAACAGACTGGCAGTCCCACAAAGGGGGAAGAGGGACAGGATAAGGAGATTCCCAGGGAAGGGGATAAACCAGCCAGGGAGCAAATTGACACTAAGACAAGAGATCAGATTGAAGAACAGGAAGGAAACTTGGGAACCCAAAGTTCTCCATCAGAAGAAACAACACAGAGGCCACCTGAAGATCGGAGAGTTGCAGCAGAAAAGGTTAAGGAACACTCTAATACACCAGAACAGCCTCTACAAGGAAAAGATAAACCGAGTTCAGGATGCACAGACCTGCCAGAACAATCTGCTGCCCAGAAACCATTTCAGACACAGAAATCAACTGATCCCCAGGATGACAGAAAAGCTGAGACTCAAGAGTCGGGAAACAGTGCTGACAGGACACCATCTGAGACAAAGAACTTAGCTGAACCCAAAGGTAATGGTAGAACACCTGAGAACCAAGAACCCCCAGCACAAGAAAAAGAACATGAAACAAACAACTTGCCAGTCCAAGGTGATAGCAGAAATATTTCAGAAATACCTGATGTTAAAACTGAAAAGAAAGAGCAGGGAGATCCTGAGGCCCACGATACAGTAAGGCAGGAAGAAAGTGAGAGAAAGACTCAGCCACCAGCCCTGGAAGATAAAGCACAGGATGGTAAGTATCAGGAACTCCAGCAATCATCAAATGAAAGGGATGCTGAAGAAAGTTCTAAGACACAAGAGTTACGCTCAGATGGAGGAGATCAGAATCATCCTGAAATTGAAGGAGCAGTCACCCCAGGAGAAGAGGCAAGACACGCTGAGGAAGGACTTGTGAGCAGCAAAAATGCCCCTGCAGCAGGAAGGAAACCAGGAGCAAGAGAAAGAATATGGAAATTGTCACCACTTGAGAACCAGTCTGGAGGAGAAAATAAGAGGGTCACCAAGACTCATGACAAGCCAGTCAAGGAGGATGATAGTTACCAGGAGGAAGATGATGAGCCAACAGTCACACAGAATGATAAAGGGTCTTCTGAAACCCCCAACAGACTGACTCCAGACGGTGGTGACAGCAGCTCAGAGGCAAGTGATCTGCCTATGCAAGGGGATTCCCAGAGTCAAGTAGACTCACTCAGAGAGTTTGTGCAAGGAAGTCACAATAATAACCCAGACACCCAGAAACAGGTAGCACTGGGTGAGATAAACAAAACTCAGGAGGCAGTCAGAGGAGATGCTGAGCAGCTCACAGAGGAACAGGAACAGCCTGATGGAGAAGAGCACACAATTTGGGGCTCAGGGACCAAAGAACCAGGTCCAGCTGTGGAGCCCAATGGAACTTCGTATGTCTCAACGTGTCCCAAACTTCTTTCCTTTTGGTCATCCTCAACACATTCAGATGCAGATTAATAATCCTTTAAATACCCTTTCTAAATTTTTATAAGAGAAATAATAAAGTATTCTGCAGTGGGAGCTACCACCAAAGAAATGTCACACCAAACAAACATCCTACCATATGATGCTACTGCGAAGCGCTAAAATGGACTTTCTCAAGAGACAATTTATCACAATTTACTTGTCACTAAAAATGGAAAAATCTCTTTCACATTTTTAACACATACCAATTTCTTCAATTGACTCATTGGCTTTTTATAATGTGGCAATAGGAAGTATGTGACTCTGCAATTTTATATTATAATCATAAAATAGCATTAATTCATGGTTGTCAATAATTCTACTTCATAATAATTTTCAACACAGATTTCAACTTTATCGCAAAATTCATCCCTCAAAATAATCTCAGATATCACCATAATTTAAAAGTTATATCTAGCACCCAATTAAAGTAGATTCATTACTTTCTTTATTCATGTCCAGTTGCAACTAAATCTATGCAACATACTCATTCATCCATTCAACAAATTTTATTAAATCCCACTTCTTATCCAGCTCTTTCATAGTTTCTGGCTCAAATAAGCAATCAGAATAATTATAAAGAAGAAAAATAATACAAATCTAAGTCTACAAAATGTTCACTTATAAATAAACCACAGAACTTATATGCATGTATGCATAACTGATGGATATGGACAATAAAGCTGGGGACAGGGTAAGGGGGATGGGGAGGAGGGTGTCAATGGGGAAAAAATGAGAAATATCTGTAACAAAAATAAATTAATTTTAAAAATGTTCACTTATAAGGTTTGCTAAGGGCATTGCATTACAATTAACAATTAAATAACCTGATGATCAATATCTTTTGTTGGTTCATTTTTTACCCCTTTATTTTCCATCTACCCTTAAAGACATTTACGAGAAGCAAAAATAATATTAGTGATTACTATTTTTTAAAAAGAACTATAATTACAGGATGATGCTCTCATTTTCCAGATTCAGCTGGATCTGGAATGATTCTCATTCTCCACTCCCTAAACAACTTCAGGTTCCCTCCACCTAAAATACTGCCTCTCTCTCCACTCTATAGATTTATGTACAAATCTTGCTTATTCTATGGGGTCCAATTCCAATACCACTTCATTCATTCATTTATTCATTCCAAGATTTTATTAAAAATCCATGTTATTTCCAAATACTGAGCGACAAAACAAGTAAGTACTCTTTATCTTTGAGTTTGTTTTCTGATGAGGGAGGGGAGAGACAAACAACAAACAAGTACAACAATAAATAAACAAGATAATTCCAGTAGGATAGTGAGGGCCAAGGGAGCGGGAAGTCAGAGGCAGCCAGAAGGGTTGCTATAGAATACTAGTTTAACCTTTCCTGCTGCCCCCAGCAAAACACATGTTGTCCTCCCTTAACTCCATAGTTTTTATTTATGCCTATTCTTTTCCCCCCTTGAATTGCAGTTATTTGTGTGCTTGTCTTAGCTCCCCTCTTAGATTATAAGCTCCTTAATGGCAAGGTTCACTACTTACACGTCTTGCTATTCTGCATTAGCATGAAGCTTAGCACCAGATGTATACTATGATTATAATAAATGTTTACTGAATAAATGAATAGGTACCAATATCATTGTAACCGCCTCTTAGCTGATCTCCCTGCTTCCAGTCCATTCCTCATTTAATCACTTAAGAATTTTGCTCATCATTGCTTTCATCTCTCCGTTTAAGAACTCTCTGTGATACATTCCTGGTGGGAATGCAGACTGGTGCAGCCACTATGGAAAACACTATGGTGTTACCTCAAAAAATTAAAAATTGAATTGGCATTTGACCCAGTGATCCCACTTCTAGGAAAATACCCTAAGAAGCCTGAAACACCAATCAGATAGAATATATGTACCCCCATGTTCATAGCAGCTCTATTTACAATAGCTAAGATCTGGACACAACCCAAGTACCCATCAGTAGACGAATGGATAAAAAAGCTGTGGTACATATACACAATGGAGTACTATGCAGCTGTAAGAAAGAAAGATTTCTTATCCTTAGAGATGACATGGAGGGACCTGAAGAGTATTATCCTAAGTGAAACAAGCCAAACAGAGAAAGACAAGTATCACATGATCTCACTTATTTGTGGAATATCATGAACATAACAGTCTGAGGAACAGGGTAGACCCAGAGACGTGGAAGTAGGGTGCAGACTGACAATCCTCAGAAGAGGGGGCGGAGGGGAGATAAATCACAGAACTTATATGCATGTATGCATAACCAATGGACATGGACAACAAAGCTGGGGACGGGGTGGGGGGTAATGAGGAGGAAGATGTCAATGGGGAAAACAGGAGAAACATCTGTAACAAAAATAAATTGATTAAAAAAAGAAATAAAACCAAGAATAAATTCTTTTATGGTAAAATGAACAAATCAAGTTCATTTAATTTGCTTGTTAAATTGTTTCACAAAAATTTTTTAAAAAAAGAACTCTCTGTGACACCTTCCACATTCCTACATACCACATTGAATCTAAATTGATCAAACTCTCTATAATATCCCTTCAATTACAATTTAGAAATGTAGAACTCTTACTAAGAGCATCGGGCTGACATCTAATTGTCTTTTAACCCTCACCTTGATCATTTAAATCCTATCTTACAACATTGACAGGAACATTGTTGAAATCAATATCATTCAAAATATTTATGAAGGACTTGCTATGTGCCGGGCTCTGGTGGGCACTGGACATGCCCTGGTGAATAGAATAGATATGTTCCTGCCCTCATGATTAATACAACTGTAAAGTACTGCAAAGAACTATTCAAGGGCAAGGTGTTCATCATATTATTGCTTCCATCTCCATGCCTATGCACTTGTGATTCACCTTCCCTGAAAAGTGTCTCAAATTCCTCTCTACTTTCTCAATCATACCTGTTCTTGAAGTCTTAGACTAAGTCCTACCTCTTTCCAGAAGCTCACTGGTTTTTTATTTTATTTTATTATAGTTTAATGTGTTTTAACAGCAAACTTACAGGAACAGCACAGAAGACAGACAACATTGAAAACATTTACTTGCATTAGGACAACTCAGTTAGAAAAGTCTAGTGAATGGATAGAATCTACTGTATGATAAAAATGTCAAAACATCATTTAGTTGCCATCAATAAGAAATTTACTTGTTTTTTAAAAACCCAAATGCTGGCATTGTCCATAAACATTGAACAGGTTTATTTATATTGTTGTAAATTTGAACTGCTGAAACTTGTTCACTGAAACATTTTGACTTGCATTAATGCTTTATGTCCCCGCATTTATATTTTAAAAATTCACACACAAATGAAAATGGAAAAACTGCCAGTACCTGATTTCTGCCTCCTATTTTCAACTTGCAATCATATACTTAAGTACCTTTTGATCCCATAAGGAAAAAAAAGTCTAACGTTCAGAACTACCAATAACAGAAAGAAGAGAATTTTTTCTTTTAAAGAATGAAATATTTCCCATCATAGTGGATTCTTAAGCACATTTTCCACATATGCAGCGTGCTAGCTGGAGGTCTTGGCATAATTGTTACACATTTGGCATGGATAGCACGCAGGTTGGTGTCTTCAAAAAGGCCGACCAGCTAGGACTCACATGCCTCCTGCAAAGCAGTAGCTGCACTCTGGAAGTGCAGATCCATTTTGAAGTCCTGTGCAATTTCTTCCACCAGACGATGGAAGGGAAGTTTACAAATCAGAAGTTCTGTGGACTTCTGATAACGTCTCATTTCACGAAGTGCCAGGGTACCAGGCCTAGAATGATGAGGTTTCTTCACCCTCCAGTAGAGGGCGCACTCTTGTGAGCCACTTTGGTAGCCAGTTGTCTCCTCGGCGCTTGACCACTGGTGGATTTGGATATGCAGGCAGTCCGCTTTGTACGAGCCATGGTACAGAGAGGGCTTTACTTACCCACCTTCTCCTTGTGGGGAGGTGGAGGCGGCGCAGGCGTTAGAGATCGAAAGCGGCTGTGAACACCAGAAGCTCACTGATCTTTTTACTACTGTATCATTCATAGCCTGCACCACCCAGATAAATACCTTAATACTTAGTGGCTGGTACTACTCACTAATTGTCCTTTGAGTGTTATTTCCCCAACTTAAGCTCTTTGACCTCAACATCTGCCTGTGTAAAATGTCATTATAACAACCCACAAGCCCCGCCAGTTTGTCTCAGCAGTTAGAGCATCGGCTGGCGGACCAGAGAGTCCCGGGTTCAGTTTCTGCTAAGGCGGTGTACCTCAATTGCGGTTTGCCCCAGCCCTGGTTGGGGTCCTGTGGGTGGCAGCCACTCAATGTGTCTCACGTGGATGTTTCTCTCTCTCTCTCTCTCTCTTCTTCCCTCTCTCCCCCCTGCTCTATCTGAACATAAATGCAAAAAAAAAAAAGTCCTCGGGTGAGGATAAAAAAAACCCACAGGATTATTATGAAAAATTAAAAAACAGAACTAGTGTTCAGAATGTACAAAGTATGCCTATAACTCAATGAGTAAAAGAAAAACCTAATTTCTAAAAAATCATTTTAAAGTAAAAGGCACTTCAGACAAGAGGACATCAAAAAAGCCAGTGAAAAGGTAGTCAACCTCATCAGATATTAGATAAATACAAATTAAACCACAGTGAGAACATATCAAATGTCTGAAATTAAAAAAGTAATAATGTCAAGTGTGCAAAGAGGGAGAGCAAGTAGAACTCTCAACTGATTGCAGGAGCATAAATTGACATATTAATTACTTTGGACAGCTGTAAGGCAGTATCTTCTAAAGCTGAACATGTGCAAACCCTATGACCAAGTAATTCCACCCCAGGTATATAACCCAACAGAAATGCACCAAAAGGCATGGTCAAAAATATTCATAGAAGCGTCCAGAGATAAATAACCCCCAGGTCCATCAACCGAGAATGAACCAATCATTTGTATTATAGTCACATAATGGACTATTATATAGCAATGAGAACTATAACCATACATAG